CAAATTCCCACTTTAAGCAAGCATATGCAAAAGATGAACACAAATTGAGCAGAGTTACACATACAAAGGCTAAGAGGCCTCGTCAAACAAGTATAGCAAAGCTCCTCTAGATTTAAGAGGTTATAGTAAGTACATTGCTTTTAGCTATATATTTTTTTTTTCATAGATACATAATCACAGTATCACATAGTATTCTACTAAGGAATACTATAAAAGCAGCACCACCTAGTGGTACCAAAAACACCGTGTAGCATTTTCCGTGGTTTCCATGAAGAAAAATATTTAGGAAACTACAGGAAAAACTTTCAGATTAAACTATTTTTAAAATACCCACATGACATCTATGTGTGAGGGGTTTTGTTTGTTTGTCTGTTTTAATTCAGCATGATTGTGAATAAATAATATTTGCAACCTCTGGGTATACATTTACTTATTTTCTTTGAAAGGGAAAAAAGATATGAATCTGTATTAATCACAGGATAATTTTTTTTTTGTGCATAGATATATACATTAAAATATATTTTTAAATGATCAGGTATTAAAACAATTACTACTCACTCCCTCCCATCTAACTTTATTATTTACTACTGCTAGTGTAAAATCTAAATAAAAACCTATATATGAATAAGAAATATCCAGCAACTTTGGACCTCCTCCCTAATATTTTCCAATACGCATTCCAGTGAACCATAGTTTATCTTGTTTCAATATACGCAGTCCATGACACAGACAATCACCTTGCAAAAATCAGAAGGGTCCAACGTGCAACGCCGGTTGGACTTGTCTTCCATAGTGACTGCACTGGCTTATGTATTTACAGCTGTCCTAAGTAGCTGTACAGTGCTATGACTTCAACTTGGTAGTGTTTTAAATCATTTTAGCATCTGCTTTTCACAAGACCCTCTAAATCCTCTATTGGCACTTCAGGAGGCGAAAACCCCTCCCAATGCACCTGCCTCCATGGGAGCTTGCCAGTGCAAACTAACACTGTTCTGGAAAAATGAGAATTAATGGTTTGTTATACCCCTTCAGAGTCTGTCTCTGGCCATGCACAGGGACTGTATGGCACTACCAAAGATGTAAATCTTTAGTAATTATATGATAGAATATTTTTAAAGTTATGAACATGATGTGACAACGAAAAAAAAAAAATCAGTGATCAAAACCAGTAGTGGCCCCTTTTTTTTTTGGTATGGATGATACCTCATCCTCTCTCATCCTCCATGCAGCCCACAGCTCACCTCTCCAGCTCTTCAGTATGCTTCCACAGATTTATTTATTTATTTGGTATAGCCCAAGAACCCCCAGAGTGCATGGCTGTCCTACTCCCCTTCCCCAGCCCTGTGCATGACAGCACAACTCTTCTGGTTTTAGCTCCAAACACTCCCCCAGTGCCTACTTCTCTCATGTTCTCAGCTGCCAGGCATGCCAATCTCCATCTTCCAAGCCACATCAATGCTGGGGTATTTAAGCAGCTCCCAGGATTCATTCACCACTGGCATACAACTTTGCTGGAGTTGTGACTACTTCACCATTGACCACCTCACAGATTCCTCCCATGCCTATGTACCTACAACAGAGTAAGAGAAAACAGAGAACAGACTGACTGAATACAGTGACTCTAGTTAAACGATCACTTTCTAGGATTCTTTTCTCCGTGCTCCATCATTTCATGACTGGTTGGGGATTTTCTTTTTTAGTCTTCACCATTTCTCACAGGAAGTTTCTTCTAAACTCTCAGTCTCCTGAGGGCTTGAAACTTTCTACACCACTATTCATTGCTAGCCGGTGATTTGGGCAAGCATTGCCCTTTACCTAAAGGAATAAACACATAACTTCAAGTTATTCAAGGAAAATATTTACCTTCTCTCTCAATATTGACTTTTCTAGACTAACTACGTGAATATTTTTGAGGATACATTTAGTCTCCTGCAGACATCCATACTTCCACTACCTGCTATCCAATCCAATTGGAAGGAGTGTAATAAAGTCAGCAGAGTTTTGTGTCCAAGGAAACAAATTCTCCTAAGTCCATGGTTACATAGCTTCCAGATGTGCCATCTGTAAGCTTGTGGTCTGCTTAAACCACAGGGAAGCAGAGCAAAAAGCATTGTACTATAACCCTTTCTCCACTCACAAAAGCTATTCACCAGATAATCTTAGCAGCTGCCTTACCTGTTCAAATCAAACTCCACCTTTCTGGAACACATAACCATGCTGTACAGAGCGCTTCATATGCAGTTTCACCTATTCTTCCCCAGTCTCTACCAGAGATACTTCATCTTATACATTCTAGGCTGTATTGTTCATTATTCCAACACAATTGCAATTTGTAGTCATCTACACATTTTATTTTCAACTGGTGAGCTCAAGTAAATTCTGTTTATTCCCTACATACATGTATTTTGCTATTAAATTCCATCCCATCTCTATTACATTCTGGGTTCTGGATTTAATTTTTTTATATATATACTTTATGCTTTCTCTCTTTATAACATTGATGCTCTTCTATGGATTAAGCAATTATCATTAATCAACATTACATCAGAATCAGTCCTAGGGTATTTCTTGAGTAGCACTGCCAGTAACTTTCCTCCAGAATGACAGCACTGTTAATACAGTATTATCTGTCCTTCAGCCAGGCCATTACACACCTGAAATTCTTGTATGAATCCCCATCTTTTCTAGCTGAACTAGTAATTTCACATGTAGCACTGAATCTTCCAGTTCTATCCAACAAGTTAAAAACTTTAGGATGCTGTAGAAAAACGCAATTATGAACAGGAGTTAAAATGAGAACCAGGACTTGTAAATTTTGTATAAATACTTTATTATGTATAAAAGACAACTTACAAGGATAGATGTTCTATTAAAACAAATCACAGGCTTTCTGTTTTCAGATTCCAATGTTTTAAAGGGCATTTTAGAATGTCTCTTCCCTCTTCTACAGCGATATATTACTTAGGGACTGATGCCACGTAGCAAATGTACCGCAACAAAGCAGTGGCTGGTGTCATGGCAATGATGCCATGACAATGCAAAAGGAGGGCACCATGCAGAATCCAAATGTGGATTCAAGGCTTGCGGTCTTTGCCCCCGAAGTCAACAAAACCAGGCAGAGCTATGGAGTCAAATCCGCAGGCTTTTAAACAGACCTTTGCAAAACCTCTCCTTTGGGACATCAGCTGGCTCTGGCAAATACAACTCTCTTCACTCCACTTAAGATGGGGACAATTGGAAATAGGTAAGAAAAAAAAAAGGTAATAATGTGAAGCCCTGAAAAACAGCATCAGAAGGCAAGCTCATTCTTGGAAAAAATCCTCCACAGATTACCTGTTTTTCTTACAGTACATACAGATGCTCAATACAGGATTAATATTTTACAGTCATCATGTAAACATTTAGTCTTCTCACAGATCAGATCAATTTTGTTTAGTCTTAGTATTCGCATATGAGATCCATCCAAAGGAGATTTTTTTCTTGTTTGTCAAGAACTTGACAAGGCACTACAAAAAGTAACCAAAATACTGCAACAATGAGACTGCAGTAGTTAGTTATGTGGAACACCATTAAAACTACAGTGTGTTATTTAATTCGTACACTGTCTGACTTTCTATAGCTACATAAGGAAAGAAAAATGCTGCCATTTTAAAAACGGAGTTGCACAACCTTTTTCTAACTCTGAATACATCTGAAAAGTTTACAATTATCAGTACGTAAACTACCTTCCAAACAACAGTCAGAGCCTGACATGTAAACAGTTAACGACACCGAATTACGTAGTTAAGTTCATATTAGGATATGCAGGTTTGAGCATTGTTCAAGGCATAACATGGTCCCAAGGTGTAAGGTTTCTCTCAAAAATGAGAACGTAAAGTTAGTGCAGTGATACTGAAGCTATCTAAAGACTAAAGTCCCATATAAGAGAGACTTTACTGTTAGCTGTCATAGGAAAAATAAAATAACTAAGAAAAAATCATTTCAGGTGTCTGTTCTTTGTATTAGCCACTAGTCAGTAAAAAAAACCTCCAAAACTTCAGTAGTCACATTTCTGTCCTACAGAAAGCAACTGTGTACCTGCTTACGCGTACAGCATGTTACAATGGGAAGTTTCCAGCTCTTATTGTTGAAGAACTGTAAAGATAATTAATAGTAGTATCTTAATTAAATGATACAATAACAACTACTTAATTTTTATTATTTACATTTGGTTTTGGCATAATATTAGCTAGAACAGTGAAAGTGGCTTGTGCTATCCCACTCAGCTTATGCTTCAGTGATGACGATGTCTGGGTTTGTAACTGTGCAATGTGACATCTAAACTTTTATTTTTAAGACTTTAATTAAAAAATATATATATAGAAACATTTTATGGAGCTTACGTTTGGATAAAATTTTAATTGTTCTGTATTTTGAGTCTAAACAGTGATGTATTTTTTCTACCTTTTCTTATTACTGTATTCATTCTTTAATACACAGAGAGTAAATGTTTTTACAGGCAAGAGAAAAATTATGTCATAATTTCAATGTCAGGTGGATGCTCTGAAAAAACACTGGAGGATGAGAAACAGAAAAACACAAACTCATAAATGCAGCTAATTTTTACATATTATATAGTAATCCTCTTGCTCTCAAACAGACTCACTGAGTAGTTGAATTTTATGACAAAGCAGGGTAACAAAACCACTGAATCATACCAACATGTCTGAATTCAATTTTGGTTTTTTTATAATGTATGTGTTATTATTACTAGAAATCTTTCCAGGTAAAAGGAGATTCCCAGTGCAAGGAGGAATTTTCTCAGCATATATTTTCACACATGTAATTATCTATTACAGAAGAGGTAATTTCTCTTATGTACTGCTAGACCTAAGGCAGAACATAATACTTGATCATTATGCCAAACACCTACAAACCAGAGAACAAGCATGATTAAACATCCATAAGATGCAAGTCTGTTCCCATGAAAATAACACAACTATTCCCAAGACATATGAGTCTCACTTTCTGTCAGAAAATCTCACATTGATGGAGTTTCCAGGAGTCAAAAGTCCATGGGTTTTGGCATGAACTGGATCAGTCTTGGGAGAAATTTTGATCTCAAAATTCTGAAGCAACTGTGAAAATAAACAGGACAAGTGTTAGAAAAGCTGCAAAATTACAGCTGAAGATTAGACTTCGAAAAAGAGAACATAACAGACTGTCACAAACACAACTTCTGTTGCCAGTTCTATGGAATCTAAGTGCTGTGATTCCCACAGAGGAAGGAAATTGTTGTTGTCACAAGGTGAAGAGTATAGCTAAAAATCTTCCTCCTCTGATTGAGGGAGGACTGAACCAGTCCTTTCTGAAGAATTTCCACACCACAGTCTGAGCTATCCAAAAAACAAAGGTCTCTTTCAAACCTCATGAGCATCCTCTCTACGTGATTTCACCTCCTTTAATATACATTGATATGTGCCACTATAAAACAAAGCACCCCATCACAAACATTTCTCTTCCTGGGCAAAGGAAGCAAAACAAACATGAGACAGCAACTGTCCAGTGCCCCAGGTGAAGCAATCATAATTCAAGGAGTCAAGTATTAGAACCTCTCCTGAAGAGCATCACTATAATTCACGCACACAGGTTCTCTATACATTAAACTATTTCCATACACTTAATCAAACTGAATCAGTTGCAAACATAAATCACAGAAATTGTGGACTAAAACAAACTTCAAGACATTTATCTCACCAGTTTTGAAGCTGCCTCAGCTATCTCTTTAAATTTTCAAGAAAGAAAAAACACAGCATCCTCAACTTTTCCTAGTATTAAATCTGAAACCCTTTTTCCTATAAATGAAGCAATCTTCTCTTTTCCTTCTCCTAGTAAGCATGGTGAATAATGCATTATTTTCCTATACATAGCTACCTTATCAGTGTTAAATGTTTGATCAAATTTTCATCTCATTCTTCTCTTTTCCAAACCTCTCATTCTTGGTATTCTCCCAGTCTTCCAAATTTCCTCCAATCTGACTGTATGTCAGCTGTGTATCCCTGTCTAGCTGAGGCTTCGCCAGTGTTTGGTAAGACTGAGTAATGTAGCTGATCTTTCTGACACACAACACACCTGTTAACACTGTCAACACACCCAAGAATTACATTGCCTTGTCAGAATTAGCATAATTATTTTTTGTTGACTGATTTTTTATTATACCCCTCCATTCTTTTTCTACAGTACTATTACACAACCAGTTGGTCAGCAATTTGTATGTATGCATTTGATTTCTTCTTAAGAGCAGTAGCTTCCAACTGTCTTTAGTGAACAATTTCGTGTTTATTCTGGAACATTTCTCCATTTTTTCAGAATTCTATACTACCATCCTCCGATTTCAACTTAATTCGTGTCAGCTTGATACCATATGCAAACTCTAAAAGTATTCTCTAATCCATCACTGACACTTTTAATGAAAATACCAACCTAAGTCAAATGCAGAACAGACTCCTATAGAATTTTAATTAAGCATTTTTCCATCTCAACAGCGAATATTTGACAGCTACTGCCTCCAGCTATTACTCCTTTTTTCCAACCAAATGTGCACTCATTTTATAGGTACATGCACATGGAACAAACTTTTAATAAAGTTAATATTAATATTTAATTGTGGTAACAATGTATGGGACGTGAAAATACTTCCTGAAGTCAGAACACATATTTTATTTTATATCCACCACATCAGGTAAGTGATCAAGTCAAACAAAGAAATCAGACTGGTCTGACACAACTTCTCAATGATCAGCTGCGTGCTTCATGTGTTTCTATTTTTAAATCACTTATATATCATCGAGGTGCTTGTAAATAGGTTGTGTGCTACTCTGTTCTAGTTTCTTTCCAGAAAACAAAAGCAGGCTCTCTATTACTTCTTTGATCGCCCTTCTCAAAAAGATGCAAGTATGTTTGTTTCATCCAGCCCCTGAGAGCTATCTGAACTAACTCTGAGTTCCGAAAGACAGATGCTAATTGATCAGGGATTGCTCTAGGAGTTTACTTAAGGCAATTCTAAGCAAATCCAATCAAGCTTTCCTTTGAATGCATAAAATGGGTCTAAATATTTTTATCGTTAAGTGACTACAAATAGTTTACAAATCTTTGAGTTTTGATTGCACAATCTGACCCCAGTATTTGAGTTAAGGGTGTCTTGTGAATGGCAAAAAATGTAGCAGCTGTTGGGAAAGCTTTCTTTATGATATGAAGCAATGGAAAACAATATCGATCACTATGTACTAACTACTTATATAACGAAGTTATGTATATGCAAAATGATAAGAAAGTTACAAGAAAGAACAAGAAGGGACAGAAAACCACAGAACAGAAAAATTCTACTATCTGTCATAACACTGTGGTCAGTACAAGGAGATAAAAACTATTTTACACTTTTGGAAGTACTGAATTCCTCATAACAAAAATACTGAACCGAGGCAGGTAACCATTCTAATATATGTTAAGACAGACTTCCAAATGCTTAGAAAAACCTTTTGTACTACACCCGTACATTTCCTTACCAATCTTACCTTTAGCTTTACTTCATTTGTACTATAAAGACTTTTTTCTTCTCCAGCATAGTTTAACTAGTGTGCTACATTTCAAGCATAATTGTTTTCAATGTTTTAAGCCTCTCTGCAGGATGACTATTCTCGACAACACTCCAAACAAAGTTTTTGAGCGCTGTAAGATAATCCAGAAGCGGTACACATAGGAAAGAATCATACAAATATATTTTTCTTCTTGTAATGCTGTCACATATTTCTAACCTGAATCAGTGCAAGATGAATTTCCAGCTCTGCGATTCTTTTTCCTATACAACTTCGAATGCCATAACCAAAGGGGATGGAACCAAAATTGTCTACTCTGTCCAAATTATCTTTCCTCAGCCAGCGCTCAGGTCGGAATTCATTTGCCATGGAGAAATTTTCTTCGCTGTATGAAGTAGTATAATGACAGAGTGCCAGCTGCGTCTGAGGAAATAAACTGTATTTAGCTAACTGCAATATACATATCAAAATTAAAAAGCATTTGTAATTTCTGTGATACGAGTATCTTTGAGTAATTCTAGAAGAGCAAAGGATATATGGAAAATCAGATCCCTTTCTCAACTTGTCAGATGGAATAATCTTCAGATTCTTTTAAATTTAAATTTTGCTGAATATATTAGAGAAGATTGCAGTGGGGAAGGAGATTTCGAACAAAAGTCACAACTATAGGGAATTGTCTCAAAAAGATAGTATGGGAGAAAGGGAGAAGAAAGATACAATGGAAAAGGAAAAAATGGAGGATGGGAAGGAAAAAAAGCACAATATCTCAAGAAAAAAACCAGCAATAATTGATGTGATGATGTTTGCAAATATATCTGGAGCAGGGGAGATGTGTGTAGAATAATATTTAAATAAGTACATTAAGAATTAAGAACCCTGACTGTTTAAAAGCTACAGTGTTCTAACATGGAAGTGCTGTCATTTAAAACAGAGCCACACAGTTCTATCATGATCTCTGAGTAATCTCTGAATAGTATAAAAGAAAGATTCGTGATTTGAAACAGAAATTAATCCCTTTCTACAAAGGGAATTAACAGAAAAAGAAAACTCCAAGAATAATGAAATTAATGCTTTTTTAATCAAACTGTAACATTGCACAGAGATGTTATTAATAGACCCCGCCCTCAAGAATATTAAAAGCAAGTCGTGATGGTAAATTTGATTAGTGGGTGAGGACCCAGATCTGAAAAACCAAGAGCAACAGGTCAATTATAAAATCCATTTTTGTCATACAAATGGGTATTTCTGAAATACTCTCTTTTTAATGCTCTAACTTGGTGAAATCTTTTGAAATCGTTTAAATGTATGTATGTTGTAACAGATCACATTTCATGCACAAAAATTAAAACTATGTTCTCTGCAGAGGACTGCAACAGAACCTACCCCTTTAGGTATTAAGTATCCTCCAACAACCAAGTCTTTTTGGGTCACTCTTCCATTTCCTGGCAATACTGGATATAACCTAGAAAGAAATATTTATGAGAAGTTCAATAGTAATAACTTATACAACTTAAAAGGTTTAGATTCCAATTTGCAATCACAAGTATGCAATGTGCCTTCACAGCAAGAAGGTTTTTCAGAAGTACAGAACAACTTGGAGATTCAAAGACCTTGAATCCTGTGTGAGAAGACTTGAGATTAATACTTGAGAGAAGTTATTTATTATTAACTGGAAGCTGAGCTATTTGGTCTATATACTTATTTACTTTACACATGTACAACCATGCAATCAATTGGTCAAGCTGAAGAGGTTTTAGCACTACCAGGAGCTGAAAAAGCCTCGTTGATGCCTTCTCTAAAATCCTATTACACCCCTCACCTCACTGTGAACGTTTGGTATAAACATATGAAAAAAAGGCATGTCACATGCCTTCAATTTAAGTCAAGAAGCTTAAAATGATTGTAGTGGTACTGCAAAGCACCAGTGGGTGAGGGTGAGGTTGTTACAGTCCATCATACAGGCTAATACTGAAAAGGCAAAAAACAAGCTTCAATTACCTACCTTAACAGACACATCCCACACACGTGATACTACTTCTACCATACCCAAAAACATTAAACATTAAATAATCCATCATATTTTGTTTCTTAGGACACAATACTGGTACAATAAATAAAAGCAGAAGCAGCAAATAGCAGTAACAACTAAATGCAAACATTAGCATGGACTCAACATCCACTACAATTACATGGAATTAAATTTTTAAATTAATTATTGCAGTTGTCTGCTACTTACCTCAATGTTTCTTTCAGCACAGCTCTAATCAAAGGCAATTTTGGGACATCACGAGCAACAGGAACTTGGTCTTTCCCCAGCTTATTGACTATTTCCTCATAAACACGTTGTTGAACCTCAGGGTGCTTTGCCAACAAGTATGTTGCCCAGGACAACGTAAAAGAAGTCTAAGGAAGAAACCACAACCATCATCACCAAGTCTGACAAGATCAGATTAAACGTAATTTCAAGCCAAGAAAAACAATCAGTTTTCAACTATGTGTTTTATATATTCAAAGTTATAAAACAGACTGGCAGTGACTCACATCTGGACTCAATTAGAGTCTTCACCATCTCTGCCTTCATACCTTTTCCATCGAAAAATCCCCACATATCAGAACAATCCATGCTGTATTTTCACAGTGAAATATAAAAAGCAACAGAAAAACCAAATGCAAACAAAACTGCATAAGCAATACTCTAAACAGCGATGGATTAAGTTAATTGTTAGTTTTCAGTATGTGTTTCACCTTTCTTCCCAACAAAAACATTTCTCAGGAAAGAGGATAAAAGATTACTACAGAACATTACCAACCCCTTGTAGGCATATGGTGGTCTCCTCATAGCACCCACACATCAGAACTGGTATTATCACTGCTAAGATTATACCTTATCCTTTGGTAAGCAATGCTACACCACAACTAGCACTTCCTACCTCTTGAAAATTCCCAGTTGACTGAAATTCAGCATCCTACTGAAAGATTCCTTAAGGAAGCTCAAAGAGGAGCTTAAAGTGGCCCCAAAATGCTAGAATACAGACACACACGCCCTATAACGAATGATCGTAATAATCATCAAGGCTGTGTGAGGTACTGTGTGAAAAATCATTCAAAGGTATTTTGTACAAAGGAAGAAACTAAGAAATTAAGGAATTATTTATTTCAATTCCAAGTTTATGTGACCCAATATTTACCATTCATTTAACCATAAGCCCCTGTGTTTAAGCTACACTGGATTTCAGGGACTATCCCATTCAAATATTAGACAGACTAGGATATTTTGCTTCTGCTATCAGCTGCACCCAAGACAATCAGGCCAAGCAAACGGCATTACTTTAGCCTGTTTCCCTCACAACCATCACTCAAGACAGAAAGTTCACCATGAAAAATGTGTTGTCAGTGTTCCTGCACAAGTATGGCAGAGAAAGTGCCAAGGCACTCATTCTGTTCCTTGCATGTGTTGTTCTTAGCATCTTACAGCATTTAAGAAAGAAAAACTGTAACCTCTACACCGATATTATTGAATTATCTTTAAATGTATTTTTCCAACTTATGTAACAAAGACAACCAGTTTCACTTTCTATGCAGGATACAGTTTTATTTTCAGTTCTCACTCATTAGCACAGCAAAGTTTAGGGTTATAAACCACGTATGGGTAAAACCCCAACTTCTGGAAATCTCTTATTTTGGGCTTGCATTTAAAATCAATTTAGAATGCAAATCCATCATGAAATAACCTTTTATGTCTTGCCTTCAAACCGGGATATAATTCTAGAATTATCATTCTAGGAACCTTTCCTTTTTTCTTCTTGTAATTTTGAGTGGCTCTCCCTTGCTAAAATGCAACCCTCTTCTATTCCTCTCAGAGCTCAGAAGAGCTGGCAATTGTGCCAGCTGTATACAGAACTTCTCTGATATAAACCCTGCTTTTCTCCAGGTTTCCAGCTCCTTCACAACTTCTTAAAAATTAGCACAGTTCCAGGGACAGCAAAATGCTTTGTAGGCAAAACTGCTTTACAATTTTGTTGAAAGCATCTATAAACCTCTAAACCTCATTCAGTTTCTATAAAAAAAATGAGATCTGAAGTGACAGCAGTAGGGGAAAAAAGATTCTCTCAATTCCTGTCTTGTGCTTGGAAATGAGGAAATCAGAAGTACTGTCCTCTCACAGAAAGATTGCTGCCAGCTGAGAACAAACAGAAACTCTTGTTGGCAGGAACTTGAACATTGTCCTTTCAGCTTAATGAAAACTGTCACACACTAAAAATGGAAAATCAATGGTCTGAAAGATTAAAAACCGAATGGGATGAATAACTCTGCTTTACTAAGAACCAAACATCAAAACGCTCTCCAAACTCATAAGCCCTGGGGATATTTAATCAATGGAATAATCTTCAGCACATAAATAAGCTTTACATATGGTCCTTATTTTGAAATTCAAAAGTATTACTGTTGGGTTTTTTTTGTTTTCTTTTGTGGGTTGGTTTGGTTTTGTTGTCATCATTTTTGTTTTGTTTTCTTAGAAAACTTACAAACTTTCTTAACTTAAAAAAAAAAAAAAATCTGAATTCAATTATCCAGGGATGTTTTTTTACTTTAAGGCTACTTTACTTTCTTATTTGTTTTAATCTTTTCTGCTGTAAGACTATTAAACACAATCCTACACAGCACGTCATCAAATTCATGCAGATTTCTTTTAAAAAGATGTTCCATTACAACAATTTACAGTAGTACCGTTTATTGATATTCTAAATCACTCTGTACACACTGTATATCCAACACAGTAACTCTTTTATATTCTCTTATTCTTCTGATTGTCATGCTGCAGTCAATACTAAGCCACACTGGTTTCACATGACAGGAATGAGGAGAGTGCTAAGATACGTACATGACCTTAATGTTTCTTCAAATGCTCTAGATGACAAATCAGAAAGATAAGGAAAGAAGTCCACCTAAAACGTTTCACTGGGTGCTAACATATTTTATACGCTAGCCTCGTTAGGACTGAGCCCCACTGCCACAGCTCTTTGCCTCAGACTGGCCGTGTGCTGCCGGCACAAGCGTGGGCAGAGTAAACTTAAGCCTTACTCACATTAGTGCTGGCCTAACACCCGCTCCTAAAGGACTTCAGAGGAAACCAGGTATCTGATCCATCACGTGTCCCCCAGTTATTTAATTGGCCATACCTGAAAACTCTTATGTAGAATTTGGTAATGGGTTTATTGATCAGTTTTTCTTACTCTAACTTTTAGCGGCCTTTTCTATTGTTGTCTGCCTAAAGAGGCACAAATACCAACCTGATACTCAAACTAGTAAAAGAGAAGTATGAAATTCAAGCCAGCTGTAAAAACAATGGTTATTTTATCTGTTTAATAAACTGTGGAACTGACTCCCAAACGATGGGTTCCTGTAAACCACAGCTAGAGCAGAACTTCATTCCAGTGGAGAGTTTACAAAGTGCTTTAAGTATTTTCTATCACTTTAAAGATGTCATGGCCTAAGCGTGTCAGAAATTATGTCCTTATAAACACATACTCCCCCTGAAGAGAGCTGCGAATGGTGCGGGTTCACAAAAACAACTGCACACAAGAAAAATGATAACGAGCTTACTGTGTCCACTCCTGCCAGAAGCATTTCAGTCATATTGGCATAGATCTCTTCCAAAGTAAGTTCCTTACTCACTAGGAGGTACGTAAGTAGCCCACCATTCACTTCTCCTTGGTCCAGCTGAGACTGAATAGCCTTCAATTTGTTGTCAACGTGGATTTGACCTTTGAGATTCAAAAACATTGTTAAGTCTCCATTTTTATTTTTCCTCTGGTCCCATTCAGTAATGACATCTCTTACGCTGAACTACACAGCCAACAAAAACCTATTTTTGAATCAGTTTTCTCAGGGAACAGATAACAGTGGTGGTGGAGGTCCTTGGGTACTCATGGCAAGGCAAGACTGAGCTGGCAGGACCCTGGGTAGCTCACAGCATGAGTATGCTGGGCACAAAGAAAGGACACAAGAGACTGTAGTTTCTGACAAGAAGAGAAGGAAGCTCAAGGTCAAGTTTTTATGCCCAGCTGGCTCGTTTTCTGATGACTCTGCAAGAAGTGGTGAACTCTGCAGAGCACGCTACAAGATGTTAGCAGCAATCAGAAGGTCAAAGCCACAGAACTGAATGACACTGAAGACAAAGATGAGGAGCATCAGGTAATAACAAAAATTGACAAACTTCAGTGAATGACGTTGTGAGTAATCTCATTCACAGTCTCATTTCAACCTTAGTGACTACAAACAGCATCTTCAGTGAACCAAGGGCTTTCAAAAGAGGAAAACTCCCCAGGCAGTGACTGCCTCGTAGAATGAGATTCCAAAAACATAAATTAGAATCAGTATGTTCCTTTATGAAACCTACACACGTACAGTGATATTCACCATTTCATTCCTTTTTCACAAAGGGATTAAACAAAGAAACAGCATGAAGAGTTTCAAACAGAACATATTCCTCAAGAACAGTTTTTCAGATGCTGTTAGGATAAAGCTGAAGCCTGCTGTTGTTTTTAACCCACAAAAGGGAACAAGAGTATTTTATCAAGGGAAATAATTTAAAAGTGGCAGTGTAAAAAAGCACATATTTCACAGAACACCCAGCTGTACCAGCATTAAATGGATCCCCTAGTGCCTACTATAGGTACAGATCAAGACATTAAAAATTAGGCATATCAGGCATATTAAAAGTTAAAAAACTAAAGTACCACCTCAAGAAGAGGTACCTCAAGAAGACCTACAAAAACCTACCTAGAAAAACAGTGCTAATAAAACAAATTTTAAAATGCATGCAGCTTTCTAACATTATAAAAAAAAGTTCAGGGTTTTTTTAACACTCTAGAATATTAAAAAAAGATATATATATTGCAAAGACAAGTCCTTCTTCTTACTTACATGAAAGCTGTTTCCTAAAGCAGCCTGGAATGCTTTATTTACAAGCATATTGTAGTACAGCAGTGTACTTCTATGTCAACTTTAATGCTTGTATGTGTATATATAAATTTCACAGAGTTTAATTAATGTAGGGTCTAATTTTTAAACTTTCTATTCAGTTTTAGTGGTGATTATTTGTCAGAGTGCCTGACCGAAAATTTGCTGCAGTCAACAAAATTAGCCTCATTAAAATCTGAATGGTTTAAGATGAAGCCTTGGCAAAGAACTCAGACATGGAGTGAGGACTATGTACAGATGAAGATGGATAAAGAAACAGGAGTATAAATTAGGGGAATGCTGGAAGTGTAGTGGTAAAATTCTTTTTCAATAGAGATTTTTTAAAACTGTTCCCTTGTAATATGAAACTCACTTCTGCCACAATACTTTCTTACCATTTTAGAAGAGAAATGCAGCAAGTCCTGTTCAAACACACACAGAACCTGAGGAAATAAAGCTGAACTTTTCTACTACTAAATCTTACTAAATTTGAAGAGTCCATCCCAGGATCTGCAGAACTCTCTCCAGGGTTTTGGAATAAGTGGACGAAGCCATTTGGGAATAGCACCTGCATACATAGTGGTCTTAAACATACTAAACATCAACTCCAGAGCCTCAATATATTCAACAGTCTGCTGTGGGACGTTGTTTTCCAGGCAGCCCAACCGGCATTCGTACAGAATAGTTGCCACACCTGCACATACAAAATCAAAGCGTTTGCTGTACACTTTCATATACACATATTAATAATTTAAGGAATTAAAATGCTAGCACGATGGAACTACATTCCAAAAAAGTTTCATTATTATTACTGCAGTTGGGAGCACATGAAACAGAAACTTAAAAACATCACCCAAAAAAAAAAAATCCCAGCTAAACATTGTAGCAAGACAGCCGTTACTGTGTCAATAATGCTCAGCATGAGAAGACAGGCAGGAATTCCACCAGAAGCAGACCAGACCACCAGCATGTTTGCTGTGCTTTGCATTGCACCACAGATCCTGAGCCTGCCATCTTGGCCTCTCAACACAGAGGGACATGCAAGCCCAAAGATATTTCAGATAACCGGTGACAACGCAGACGTTTCTAGCGGTGGCTATGCCTTTCTTCGTCATCAGCTGGTAGCAAATGAACGACGAGTACGCATAAATGGATAAAGAGCCTGCATTCTAGACTGCTTTTACTGCACACAGTGAACTCCACGCGGCCCTGAAAAACAGCAATAGTGTGACACTGCTACAGTTACCAGTATTGACTGGCCTCTTGTTCCTGACTTGCTATAATGTTCTCAGATGTTTTTCTGTAGCGTTGCAGTGGTCCCTACTAAAAATGCCATTCTACCATTTCCCCCAAACCCCACTTCCCCAACAGTACTTTATAAACATTTTATTAAATTCTTCATCCTTCTCTTCTCAACTCTGGACCATTTCTTCCATTTATCAAGTTAGTTCTTACCCATCCATTAGTGTCCCTGCAATCTCTCAGCTCAGCTTTTCTAAACGTACCTAAATTATTAAATATTGGACAGAACTCAGCCAGAAACTACCTTACCAGAGTCAGCCAAAATGTTCTCTCAGTTTGGCAGCAAACTGTTTTTTAATTACTTCCTGAACACAGGTTTCTAGTTTCCTCCCAACTTGCAATATCTAGATCATATTACCCAGTTTATTTATGAAAATATCACATGGCAGAGTACAAAAAGCATTCCTATTATCGAAATAATCCTATTTAATGATTTTTCTAAAATCCAATGAGGCAATTAGGTAATTTAAAAAGGCATTTAGATAATTTCTCAAAGCTATTTACATCAAATCCAATGTTTTTAAATAAATTTTGTGCTTTTCAATTCATTAGTTCATAGTTTGCCCACATCTTTCCAGGAAATATTAGAATAACTGTTAACTAGATGATTGAGTAACTGGTCTATTAACACTCCAGTCTCTTCTTCCTCTGTTTTCCCTATTAAAGAGAGGTACAATACATAATGATGTTTCACCTTAACCTTGTCCTCCATCAAACTTCCCATAAATCCTCAAGTATATAAATATACATAGATAGATATTTTGAGAAACTTTTCCTTTTCTCTGTTCTTTGCTTTGTATTTCTCCTTTACTGACATAAATAATTTTTAAATCTATTTTCAGCCTTCTTCCTTCTCTGATTTTCCTCCCCGGGAAGATATTTTTCTATGCCTTTTATTTCTCTTGTGCATCTTTCAGCAACTGCTGGTTCTTATGCATTCTTTTGCTCTTCACATGGTCCTTTCAAAAAAATCTTAAACATCACTTGCCTGAAGAGTTGACAGTGTACGTTAATTAAATCTGTAATTCATATAGGAAATAAGCGTGTACCAGGCACAAGTTATAAATGAAAAGCTAAAAGTATGTGAAGAATTTAAACTAACCCATCCATTACAGTGAATCTGTAAGCTCAGAGCTGAAAATTCCATAAAATTGGTAACTCTTCGTTTAATGCCATTTTTAGACACCATTAATGTAGAAGACGCTCAGGTTAGTTTACCAAAGAGGCAGCCAGCCATTTCATACAGCATCTTCACCAGTGAGCAATTGGGAAGTTCTGGCAAATCTCCAATTATTCAGCTGCCTGCCAGCAAAGAGCACTGATGTTTTTAAAAGGCACAATATGTAACAAGATCTGGTTGTATGCAAAGGAATGCATGAAATATGAATCCCCATTAGATTTCTCTAAGAACACAGGCCGTGCCATACTAGCTTGGGCTGGAGTTCCATTTAGCGTTCCCTCATGAATGGTAGCCAGTGGCAGGTGATTTTAAGGCAAGCATAACAATCCCACACTCAGCAAGTGTCAGCAGGGGAAAGCAGCATCTTCTCCCACATTAAGCTACGAACAGAGTTTAGATACATCACACAGTGATTCCCCACCTGGAATTTGGCCAGCATGTTGTTTAATTAACATGTTTTAGAAGTCATGTTGTTAGAAGGTCAACATTATTCTTGAGAAATTAATACAGAAATACAAATGACAAACTGCTGAGGGCCTTGACTGAACATTTTTTCTATATATCAGCATTTCCACAGGAATTATCCCGCTTAGTAGAAGTCACCATCTCTTTGGATCTACAAAGGAGTTCTGCTATCTCCTGCACTGCGGAGGGCGACACCCGAATGCAGAGTATCACGCTTCCTTCTCCAGATTAACCACAGCAGGGCACTAGTCTTTTGGCAAAAACGCCTGACCATAAGCACACTGCTTTGCACCCATTTTCTTTACAGACATGATACAGCCTGGGCTTACCTTCCATCGAATACTTGAAGAAAAGGTTGTTAACATTGGTCACCGTTTCCCCATCATCCTCCTGACTTCTGAGGGTGTGGATTCTTTTGATTAAGTCTGTGATAACTTCATTGACTCCTTCAGAGTAAACAGCCACATCTTTGGGTTTCAGAATTTTTTGCCTCAATACACTTCTCATCTTTAGCCATTGTTCCCCCTCCCTAGAAGAAATTATCAATAATGTCTATACACAATTTTCCTTAACAATCACCACCTGGGTAAGAGCTCTGCAATGAAACTGCCTATGATTTTTCATGCCAAATGAAAATGATAAGGTATACTTTGCATTATGCTCCCACATTTTTCTTCTATATTTATTGCATGTCCTCATCACATTTCAGTGTTGCAACATAGCTGTACATGTATAAGTCAATGTCTGGTTTGAGTGAAAGAACTTGTCTGCACAGTGTTCTGAATCTGACAAGTGTCTCTGTATTAGTATTTGAGCAGGAGCTTATGCAAATGATCAACATTTTCTTATTAAAATTACTTCAAATAATTATTTGAATGGATAGTCTGCAAAATTGCTTTTACCTAGAATTGGTGGTTAACTACCAAAGAAAGGTATTGCTTTCAGATCTGAAAAAACGACTATTTGAGCTAGTACCACCAATTCCATTACTGATACATCATTTTCAGTTAGCCTAATTCTAAACGGAGTAACAGGAGAGCAGACCTAGCTATAGAGAAACAATTTAATTCTCCTTCAGCTGACCAATGTATGGAAATCTTCATACTGAAGACGAAAAATCTGAACTGTAGCATCTGAATGCTTCATGTGAGCAGAGGATTTGGGAACAGTGGTACTGGGGACATCTTTCAATTCCTTATGAAGACGGACAATTGTCTCCTATGCATTTATTTTAAATTGCTATGTATTTCTCATTAAATTTTTTCACCTGGAGCAATGCTGCTGCAAGGTACAGAAACTTACTGACCCACAAAAGAACTTAATCTTTTTAACAGACATTTGATTTAAGGTCCCATTTCACAAAAAAAAAGAAAAAGGAACTGTTAGCTTGACCCTGAACTTGAGAGCTGAAGATCTCAGTCTGCAGTGCAACACATAACGCCTTTCACCACCATGAAAGAAACAGACTGTCCATGACTCAGGAAATTAGTTTCCCTCTAAACAAACATCCTATGTCAGTGGGGACTGTGAGTAGTTCCCAGTGGCAATTAACCACACCCAAACGCACTGCCAGTTTACACAAGCTTTAAAGACAGATAAGTCTTCTAGACTCAGCCACATAAAAAACTATCTGCACAGGGATGCACTACAGTGTGAATTTACTGTAAAGTGAATGCTCTGCATTAACCTACTGTGAGGGCACCCTGGTGAACGACAAAGCTAAAGCCAACCTGAGCCAACAAGCCCACACAGCACACTGCAAGCGGGATACAAAATGCTAAATCTGAAGCAATAAACCCACACTTGCGCAGCACTGTGCCCAAGGTAGCCAGCCCTATTCCGCAATACTGCTTCCAGTCAGCTCAGACAACTTTAGCTGGTACACCTTCCCCAAGAATGTTTTTATGCAAGGTAGCTTCCTCCACATTCACACTACGATCCCTTTGAAAATTTCCATCACAACAGACAATTTACCATAAATTCCTACCTTCTTCCCCCCACTAGACACACAAACTTCCACACACAGAAACGCCTGAATTCCCAGATGACCTGTATGGTCCTTCAGAAAATCACTAAACTTTTACGAGAAAACAAACAAAATGAGGGAGTAACAACACTTACGCAGATATAAGTCCTGTGGCTCTGCCCCGTAAGTCTCTGTATTCCTGCCAGGATTCCATGTTAGCTCTTTGTGGTGCTCTACCTTCTGCTCGGAGGACTTGAGCAACCATATCTCGATCTGCAATGGACACAACAAACTGGGGACCAAAGTGAGACTTGAAGATCTTTCCATATTCCTGTGTGTGTTTTTGCTACAACATCACCAACAAAAAGAAACAGAAGTAAAGTATTACTCAGGAAAAATATCACAAAAGGAAACTGACAATTTGTCATACAGTGAATCAATCTATCACATCTAGAACTTGATCTCCAGCCTTCCAGTCAAGGCATGGTTTGAAACGTCAGGAGAAAGCACCTAAGCATTACTGTGAAATATTCCCAAGGAAAACAGAGAGGTCACACACCGTTCAGGACCTCTGACTGAAAAGACCAAAAGCTCCAAGGCACGCAGCACGAGTGAAACCAAATACTGAGGAGATGAAAGGACTTGCGGCACTTAAAAACACATCCCTTCAGATCAAACGGCTTAGAAAGAACGTCTGAAAAACGTGGAGGTAAATAGAGTGAAATTAACAGTATAATGCAAAGATATAATAATTTACTTCTAATGTCTTTGGAAAATAAAGACTTATTCTACCATTTTATTCTTGACAAAAAAATAGTTCTAAGCTTCTCACACCTAACCAAGGATGATGATGGCATAGCAGCCTAGTGAAAAACTGCATTTTGGGACAGATTCATCAGCAGTGAACTTCAGAAAGACATGTTAATTCTGCAAAAGGAAGGAAAAGCCGAGGTCTTATTCCTGTAGCGAGGTTTATTTAGTGGCTGATCCACAAGTTGTACGATTCAAGCTGGAGGCAAAAAACATGCAATTAAGAAAGAGGACTAGAAAACATTATGTATTAAAAAAGTTCTCCAGTAAGACTGTGCTATCACTGCCCCATGAAATCTGATTATTTCAAACAACTTTCATTCTGACATGATCATTAAATGAAACACCCAACTCCCACAGAGTCACTTGGAGCAGAGGTACATTGTCATTTAAGGAAGAAAAAAACTAAAACTGCAAAGGAGTTGTTAAAGAGAGATTATTAGGATTTGAGATTTAAGAAAGCTTCAAATTTTAAAGCCTTTATTTCAGGTTGAAGTAGCAAGACACATTAAACTGACCGAAGTTTAACTTTGACACATTACCTGCACCTAATCCAAAGACGTCTGCTTGCAGAGTTATGCTGGTTATAAATCAAAGATGTTTGATACAACCACACCAGGGGAAGTCTGGTGCCAAGATTAACTTTTGAGAAATACGTTTTTAGTCGGTCTTGGTTACAGAGATGGATTGTTTAATCGCCAACAATAAGTTTAAGACACACGAATCACTCTGCAGTATATCGTACCAAGTACTTCCAAAAAATGTAACTTTTTGCCTGGTTTCCAAATAAAACAAGAGTAGTGCAATTGATGTCTCTACCAGTCTCTTACTGGAACACAGTGGCCAATTTCAGTCAAGAATTAAGGGTCTCCTACAACTATATTCTTACCATTTTCGAAAAACAGCATCTGGATTCAAATGAGACACACGTATTAGTCACCCTGGTGAGGGAAATGCTACAGTAGGAACTCAACTGGTACCAGTTTTGCTTGGTCTGCTGCTAACCAAACACCACACGCAGACCAACTTACGAACAAGCGCTTGAAAACTCAAAGTATCTCTTGCCTTGGAGGTATTTTAGGGATACTGAATGTTGGAGAGAATTGAGAGCATGAATCTTTAATGGAAAGCATGACTTGGGAGGTAAGTGCTGCAAGGAGAAGGCGGTGGAGTGAAGGGGCTACAGGTCACCACCAGTCACAGAAAAACAGGTTCAACAGATTTTGCTATTTATGGAGCAGTTTGTTTTTTCCACTGATGGTGAGGTTGACGTGGGAGGATAAACTTCAACAGAAAATAGATCAAGTGTCAAGCCACCCAGTCAAGTAAATGAAATACTAGTTTTAAACCAGAAACAGACAAGGACAAGGTATTTGGACATCTTCTGGTTTCAACAGAATGATGCTCAGTGTATCAACTTCATGTTTAAAGAAATGCCTGGCATTTCTCTGCCATATTTTCTGTCACAACATAGGTTGTCTTACCCGTGTTCCAAACCTTAAATATATTACATTTTAATGTCTCACATACCACTCTCACACCAGACATTCTTTCACACATCATAAATTCAAACTGCCAGCATCCAAACCCTCACCCCTCACCTTTCTTTTCTTTACACTTGCATAGCACTGATGAGACAAAAGAGAGCTAACCCCATCAAATTAAAAATACTTTCCCTTTGTCATAATTGCTGTAGGCATTACTGCTTTGGCCAGGACTACATGGAATCATGTTACTGAGAACAGAACCTCCTTTGTGACGCCTTCCCCACCCCTTCTGCATATAGCATACAAATATTTGTGTGTGCTGAAGGACACCGTTTAAGTAGCTGTGCTGGTTACCAAAGGGTTTCAGATTAATTCATTCCTGATGTTCACTGTATTGTTAAATTTAACAGACTGTTATTAATCCAGTTAATGCCTATTTGCATCCAGCATGTGTGCAAACAGGGCATCCATGACTTGTAAAGTGATTTTTGAGACCCTAACCAGAGTAAAAAATAGTATCATATTACAACTCTCCCTTATCCTTCCTCCTGCTTTCCTTTCTACGAATAACATGCATTTTAAAGAAGAAAATACCCGTATCACCTAGTGGTAGCGAAAAGCGTGTACTATTTGGGCTGGTCATTATTCCTTTTGATATTTGAATACTTTTCACTGTTTTGACAGTGAAAGAACAGTGAAAGCTTGAATTCTCTTAGTGTTATGATACTACCTCCAATTCTGTGCACCACCTCAGAGGTAGAAAACAAAGTAATATAATGCAACAAAAAGCTTTAGCAATCAAAGTTTCATCTGCATGCGCCTTGTTGAGCAGACAATTAAGCTGAGCAATTCATCATCAGCAATCTAGTTCGGCTGCCATCAAACACAGCACAGACTGAGGAACTGAACACTTGTTTATAGAAATCTCAGTGGTAAATATGACAGCCAGGCGTGATTTGTTTATTTGTTTCCTGCCTCTTTCTGCCATTTTTAGGCTCTTTGGAAAATCCTAACTTTCAAGTTCCGATCCTCAAATCATTTCAAGTTCTGTCCTGTGGTCTGTTTTCCCTTTTCTGTTTTTACTTCCCTCTCCTTTTTTTATTTTACTCAGTGATTTTCAGGCAGTGAACCTCTTGGCACTGCCTGCCAATCTCTTCCTAGCCATCTGGGAAAGGTCACTAAGAAAAGCAAACTAATAAATGCCACACTTGAGGTATTCACAGAGAGGTCTGTACTGCCAGTGGGGAAGCGTTATGGGCCCACGACTGGAAAAGGGCGAGAAGCCCTGCTTCACTCCCTCAAACACAAGCGCTCACTGTGGGATCACTCAGACTACACGGGGAAGGGGCCCCCGGAGATGCGCTGTGACTTTTTTTGGAATGAAACACACGTTTGGCCAAGCAACCCAAAAACACCCTCGTCTTTGGATAGAGACAGTTGCCCATGCCAACAGCCAAGAAACGTTGTACGGGGGGG